AAAGTCTATGAGTCTGTCATCATTATAATTATGTGATGAACATGTAACACACACACAACCACTAACAAACACACCTGTACCTAGTAAAAGAACTTCCTGTTCCCAGAGAGATAACTTAGGTGATTATAAAATTTAGAGATAGAAAATACCTATCTTTTTAACTACACTGGAAACCAGCTACAAGTTGTAAGGAATAACTCCACCCCAGTAGCTCAGTTAGGTACTAAGCAGATTCCTACTTAACCAACCGTGGCTTGAAGGTGCTGCAAGAAAGGCAAACTCCTCCCTGGTCCTCTGCCAACTGGCCCATGGGAGAAAAAATTCCTTCCTGATCCCCTAAACAGGCAATTGGCTAGACCTGCAGCTGGCCTCCCATTCATACTTTGGGTGGATAAGATGGGTTGCTGGATCGGAGCCCAAAGAGACTGGGGAATGCTGGCCAATCAGCACCCCTCTCCCTCAGCTGGCCAGAGACTCCCAGGGGGGAGAAGCTACCTATTGTCCCTGAGCGAGTGTCTCCCTCCCTTGCAACTGGGTCTGTCCCATTTTTGCCACTGGCCTCATTAAGTTTCCCCACCATTGATGCAGTTGGGTGGCATTTTTCTCATGCCTCCCAACAGCGACTGAAAAAGAAAATATTTTTTCCAATACTTCCCCTACAGCATTTTCAATCCTTCGTTTTAAAAATGTTTCTATAGGGAATGGTATTAAATGTGTACGAATGCTACACTATCCACACAAAGTTTGGTTTGATCTGACTTAATAGGACAGTGATTAGAGGCAGCTCAGTGAGAGCAGTGGAGTCACCCATTATAGGTGGAGCCCAGACTTGCAGTGGCTCATAAAATGAAGGTAGCTGGGAGACTAAGGGAGTCAGCCAGAGAGTATTCTTGGGCAATTCTGTCTTATTACTATTGATCAAACTTTGGGGGGGAGAGGGAGGAGGGCAAAAGAGGAGCACTTTCTGTGCTGGAATGTGGCACTGAGTTTGGTAGGACTCTGGGCTGGTTGCTTTGTTTTGAAATATAGGCTAGGTTGCTGACTGAAAACCTACACATTTAGTTACACCATTATTAATATTTTAATAGACAAATAAGAACCCTAAATACATTATTAAAGTATGTACTCAATCACAGTTATTTTTGTTAAGAAAACAGTGTATAAATGAGTCTGTAATTGTTGGAAACACACCTTGCTTATTTAATCTTAATTCTGTATTTTTTTGGTGAAGAAATTGACCTGTTTGTGCATACCTCTTACTACTATGTGCCAGTGAGAATTTGCATTGAGGTCAGGATGGTATGGCTGAGTGGTCTATGCATTATGAGTGAAATCCTGGCCTGGAACAGCTCAGTGCTTCATTGTCCTTAGACAAGTTTCAGACTGTGCAGTGCACCCCTGGTTGTTCACTTGGTTACCACCCTCCAGCCCAGATGTGGATGCAGTTCTGTGGTACTAGTATAACTGTTAAGCACTTTGGGATTCTTTATGTTAAAAAGAAATAAGTACATGCAAAATATTTATTACTGCTTAATATAATACAAACATTAGTAGATCAAATAGGAGCATTCAGTATAGAATCAGGTTTCTGTATGGCAAATCTGACTCAAGAGATGACGTGAATAAGTGTGAAGAAAGACCACCCCAAGTCACATGCCCAGCTCACCTCAAACATTCCTGTGACAAAAAAAACCACCGAATGAATTAAAAGAGATGAAGTCTTAGCTGACTGGCTTTAAGAACTGTTTAGACCATTGGCAAATTCACCATCCTTTTGGTGAAGCCACTAGAAGATTAATCTCTCCAATATAATGCTGTTTCCCCTTCACTGTCCCTCTTTTCATGCTGTTACATACATTCTATCCACCTTTCTAGTCCTTGTTCCAAAACACAGACTTGGCAGTGCATGCCCACCTTTAGAAAAAAAGGAAATGAATGTATCAGAAACAGAGGCTAGGAATTGAGGGTCCATTTCAGTGCCCTCTGAAGTCATTGATCCTTCCATTGTCCTCACTGGATCAAGCCTTATGATAGGAAAGATGAGTTTGAAGAATTAGAGTGGAATTCAGCCTAAATTAGTGGTCTTGGAACAGCTGACTACACTCAGCCACATGAAACATGGACACATTCCATCTCCAGACAATCAAAGCTTCTTCTGTATTCCAAAACACCTAAGTCAGAATAAAGTTGTCAAAACTGAAGTTTTACTCACAGTCATCCCAAAAACAACTCAGAAGGAGAAAGCATTTGGCGATTTCTTCAGCACCTTACATAACAAATACAGGACTCTCAACTGCATTGTGAATCCAGATTCTTACCACGAGAATCAGTTATCTACATGTTGAATACCAATGATGTGTTCTTAGTAACCATGTGACATCAGATTTATTTATTAATTGTTTATATTACAGAAGGACCCAGTCATGATCAGGACCCCATTCTGTACAAATGTGGTTATTGGTCCAAAAAGTTCATAATCTAGAGTTTAACACTACAGAGCTAAGTGAAGATGGGGAGAGAGAAAATTAATAAATATCAAAGATGATGATGTAATTAGGATCATGGTCCTAAAAACTTATAACAAAAGGGAAGAGCTGAACTTCTAAAGTGCAAAACCAGAACGTGATCACCATTATATAAAACCTGTAATTAAGTAAAATGGAGAATGTGATTACTATTATTAATGCTTTACGTTTTGGCAGCATTTATAGGCCCTAGTGAGAATCTAGACCCCATTGTCCTAGACGCTGTATGGACTTATAAGAGGATACTGTTCCTTCCCCAAATTGTTTAAAATCCATCTGGCAAACTGATCTGCATGGGCAGGCTCCCAGACCTGCTCAAAGCCCTATTGTTGCTTACAATCAGACTGCACAACAAGGAACTGAAAAGACCGCTCCCCCCACCCTCCCCCACACACACGATATCCTTTCCCCCATCCCTCCCCCTCCAAACAGGCAGAGCAATCAGGGTGATGGTAGGTACTCTACATTAATTCCAATTATTTCCTACCTTTGGCTATTCCAATATTCCCTTATTTTTTCTAAACTCGTGCAGATTTTCTATTTTTAAAATAGATTTTAGGAATATAGGAATTGCTATGCTGGATCAGACCCATGGGCCATCTAGTCGAATATCTTGTCTCCAACAGTGACCCCCCCCCCCCCCCAGATGCTTCAGCAGGTAGATAGTGAAAAATTAATTAGGTGTTATTCCTAAATTCTAATTAACTAACACTAAGAATAAAATTTAAATATTTTATGGAAGCGAGTCATAAGGCAACACAATGTATAAAGCCATAGGTTATCCTCATAGATAAAAATTACACTTATCTATAACTTTAATAGTTCAGCTCTTGTACATTTACAAATATAAAAGCTATTCCATAAAAGAGTGTGTTGGTGTCTTATTCTGAAAACGAGGTGACAGGAAATACAGACTGAAGTCCATATTAAAGTAATTTTTGAACTAACATGAGAGATGACCTCAACCCATCACAAACGACCTCAACCCCACTAAAGAAAGTTAATCCTACCATTATTTTAGCCAATATGCCATCATCACTTGACTCCATGGTTACCACTGCTTTGTCTGTTTCGATTTCACATAATGCATCTCCTACATTTACAGTTTCACCTGCAAAACAAGACATCATTTTAAAATACTGTAGAATAACTTCCTTTCAGAATTACTTAACTCTTGTTCAAATGGAGACATACTGAAATGTCCTTTGAAGCATGCATCTGGCTACCAGTTTTCCAGTATTGTAAGGATGGTTAAAAATGCAGTAAATAATATTGTACTTAGACTTCTGAATAAAAAGCATTGCTCTTTTGTAAAGTGTTAATGTCACTAATTACCCATGTTTGCGGTAAGTATTCAGATAGACAGAACAAAGAAGTAACTTGCCTTAGGTCACAATCAGTCAGGAGCACAGTCAAGAAGGCAACCCTGAAATCTTATGTCCAGCCTTTGGCAGTAACTGCTAGCCATTGAGAAAATGGTGATGTAAGTATCTCTTAGTATAATACTGGTAAGCAGCATTATCTTAAAATTTTTATATATATATAAGACAACATTGTATGTCTTTATATACACAAGCAAGTGATAGATATACAGAGAGAGAGAGAAAGAGAGGCAAGTGTTATTTTGAATTTAAAGCAAAGAGTTAAAAATGAAACTGTCCTCTGGGATGGACTCCACTCATCATTACAGATATACAAATAAAACTTCAAGAAATAAAAAATATTCAGATGGCAAGTTTGTCAGTTTGTTTTCTCTCAGACTGTTATAAAATCCTGAACAAGCAAGACCTTTTAGAAATATACATCTTTTGTGAAATGAAAATATGTATGTGTTTTAGAAGTGGATCTGCAAGAACTATACAAATCTACTGATTGGATAAAGTTATATTATGGTTTTCCTCTCCTTTTAAGCACATACATGTCTGCTATTGCATGATAACAGCCCTATGAGCCTGGATTGTTCTGACAGATGAATAATGACTGGATACCTGCCATTAAATGAAATTACAGTGGGAAACCTGGAGAGGATCCAGAATGTTTTGGCCTTAAAGCAGATAAAATATGCTTTTCTTTACACAGCACTGGAGAAAAAGTTCAATTATGTATCAGGTTTGTAGGTACTGTATTTTTAATTAAAATGCAAAAAACACAGGCTTTAACACTTTCTGCAGCACAGTAAATGAAGTGACACTATTATATCTCTAATTTTAATTTCCACTTGCTCTCTGAAGTGCTTAAACCACAGAAAAATTACTTTGCCATCTACGATTTCTGCTTGTGTATGTGACATGTGCAGATCTTTGTCCTGATTATTTCTTGTATTGCGACTACTTGAAAAGGGATAGGGGAAAACAGAAAGAAAACACTGCTATATGGTTTGGATGACCTTTGCAGTTAGAAATCAGCAGCTATATTCAAGCCTCAACTAAATAAAATACTTCCCTGAGGTTCCACTGTGGGAACTCTAAGGGGAGAAAAGATGGCCAATTTCTTTGTCCACTCAAATATATACAAGGAACTTAGCACTTCATTATTTCATTAAAAAAAAATATATCTACATTATGACACATTAAATTGCAACAGAAATTAGGAACTGAATGGCTCCTGGAGGGCTACTAAGCCTTTCAACTCTAATTCACAGTGGTTTAGTTCTGTTAGATGGTTATTTCACGTGGTTTGTTATAACTTATACTACCTTAGACAGCTAGCTAGGTATTTACTAAATAAAACGGACTCGTTCCTTAGCTGTGCCAATTCTGTGCCCAGCACAGTTGAGGGGGCAAGTGACATCTTTATGCTTCCTCTCATTAGACTACAGCCGGTTGGTGGCCTACTCCAGGCCCTGAGGCCACTTACAGCAGCCTTAGAGCAGTTTTGTGTTTAAATTTTACCTTACAGCAATAGCCTCAGCAGTACAGGATTGCCAAAGCACAACAGCGCTCCAGCAGTGTCCCCACCCTCTCAATGTGTCTCTTACCCTGGGGACCCAAAGCCTTCCAAGATGCTTAGGGATTCCCCTGCACTGGGGACTCTCTGGGAAACTGGTAACGCTAACTTTTTCTGCCTCTGGGCCCCACCATAACAGCAGCCAGTGGCAGAGGATTTGACGTGATAACTATTTTTAGAAGTATGTTGCAATATAGCCTTTAGAAATCCCTGTCACTGGTTCAGTAACTCAGTTCAATGAATGGGAGTGTGATACCTCTTAGTGGGGGCTGCCAAATTCATGATACATCCTAGCAGGTGCCCAATTTGATGCCAAGTACAACTCAAAAGATCAGCTTTCTGACTGGAAAGAATTGGAAAGCAGAGAGCTTTGCTGAAAATTCTGATTCCCAATGCTTTCTAATGGAAAAGCTGGTACTTGGTATCATAAAATTGTTCCGATGGCTACTCTGTGTGAATAGTTATGTTCATTATAATTATTCAGACACTTTGAAAACCCTTGTTTTCAGTGGTTAGCTCCTTATTTTAGAGCAGTGGTTCCCAAACTGGGGTTTGTGAACCCCGGTGATAGGGGGTTCTTGGGAAAAAATTCCCTAATGGCGGACAGAGCTGTCCATGGGGACTTCCAAGAGCTAAGCAGATCAAAGCAAGCATATCTATCACACTGAGGAGATTTAAACGTCAAGACTCCTTATACAAAATAGGAAGGGAGGTGGATATTTTTTTGCTGTTTTTAAAATTAAACAGGCTACTAGTGATGTTTTTAAATTATTATGAAGAACAAGTTTAAGCTTTGTTGTAACATGCATTGTTTGCCTGGACTGCTCAAGACCTGAATGCTTGTGTAGGAGGAACTTAGTTGGCTTCCTAAATACCTTCATGCTATTTCACATCTGCTACTCCTTGATGAAACATAGGAGCCAGAGGCTCCAGTACGGGGGAGGGGGCACGATGAGGGTCACGTGCCACCCCCGCATCAGCACGCTCCCCCCCCCCCCGGTTCCTCCCCTTTTTCTGGCAACCCCTGCAGATCCCCCCTACTTTTCCAGCAGTGCCCCCCCAGGCCCCAGCCTGCATGGGGGCTTCATCCCCGCACCCCTTTTTTCTACTGCCACCTCTGATAGGAGCCTTGTCTTAGAACAGGTTTAATCAAAAGTTATACAAGCTACAAAAGTGAGATCTTGGAAGAGTTGCTGTTTTCATAATGTAATAAAAATACTGTAAAGATAAATAATAATAGTGTGTAATAAGCATGTCATAAAAACAAATTTTATATTTCCAAGATCACTGCTTTTATAATTTATGCTGAGGTAAGTGAGAAAATCCCTGGAAATATTCATTTTTAGGAGGGGGTTCACGAGACTTGACATTTTAGTGAAAGGGGTTCACGGTTGTTAAAGTTTGGGGACCACTGTATTAGATTGATTACTACTCTACTACACTGGCGTTTTCCTTCAAATTTAACTTGTGTCATATCCTACAGAGGTTCAGTAGCCTAGATGCAATAAGATGGTAGTGTCAGTCCAGTTACTAGTGGACAGGTGTCCAAATCATAAGATACAAATTGCACCCCTTGATGCCTAAGGATTGACAATGGAGAACTCCCTTCTCTCAATCCCTAGAGGTGGTCCCTCTAGTCTAGAACACAGTTGAGTTATACTGTATGGGGAAGCATCCACTGATGCTGCCAATTTCATGTACCTGGCTCAGGATAATCAGAGGATTGTAGTCTCCAGGGCTGTCAATCTGTCATCTTTCACCAGTACTAAATTCATACATAATAAATATCTTTAGAATAAAAAACAGTTTTTAAGCAATGAACTTCATTACCCAGAGGAACCAATAGAAAGCAGCATTAACAAAAAGGGGGAAATAGTGAAGCTGTCTATTAAATACAATGTGTTTTCTCCTGCTGAAGTGAAATCATTTGTCTCTACTGTGCAACTGTAAAAACAAATATTAGATATTTACACTTAAAGAGCAGAAACAGTGATGAGAAAAGTATTCTAGTGACCCCTGCTGGTTACATGGGGGAAAACCAACACATTTCCACATGCAACATAACAGGTTAACCTTTCCAATCTTGTGTCTTTCCATTTATTTTGAAACACGGTACGGTATAATGTTTATTTTTTCAGATATAAGATCAGTAAGACTATATCTCTATTAGTGTCATTCAATCATATATATCAAGTCATTGCAGAATGAGTCATTTATGAGAATCACTTAGTGGTGGTAAATTTAGAAGCATACCCCACTTTCCTTTTTTCCTCTTTAAAAATCTAACTACCCATTTGCTTTAACCCTTATTACACTGCTATTTTCCAGACTGCCAGGCAAAAAAAAAAAAATGTTTAGAACTAATTATTATCAAAGATGAACTAAACGAGCCCATGTATCACATTCAGATTTTTTAAATGGAAAGATCTCATTGTATTCAAAATGTTAGACTAATTTGTCTTTGAGTCCAACCTTCAATTAAGAGCAATTAATATGCACAACTGATTTTCAGATACTTATCTAGGGAAGCATAATAGGGATTGAAATAGCTTTCTATAGCACACATGGAGGAATTGGCATAAGACCTTTATAATAAGAAATAACAGTTGTACAATGGTTTTAAAAGATTTTGGACTTTAAACTGTAGTTATAGACACAATATTCAAAAGTACGAACCTAATGTGCTGTAGAATATGGTCTCCTGTTTATCAGAAACTCATAGTTAGTTATGTTACATCTACACACTACAAGTACTAGAGTGGCACAGCACTCCTGTAGCACTGCACTGTAGTAGGGTTGCCAGGCGTCCAGTTTTCGACTAGAACGCACGGTCGAAAAGGGACCCTGGAGGCTCCGGTCAGCACTGCTGATCGGGCCATTAAAAATCCAGTTGGTGGTGCAGCAGGGCTAAGCCAGGCTCTCTGCCTACTCCGAGTCCGTGCAGCTCCTGGAAGCAGCTAGCATGTCCCTGTGGACCCTAGGCACAGGGGCAACCAGGGAAGCTCCGTGCACTGCCCTGCCCTGCGTGCCAGTTCTGCAGCTCCCATTGGTCGGGAATCATGGCCAATGGGAGCTGCAGGGGCCGCACCTGCCGGCAGGGGCCGCACCTGCAGAGCTGCCTGGCCACCGTGCGCCCAGGAGCCAGACATGCCGGCCCTTCCAGGA